CGAAATAAGTAAGAGCAACTATTTGATTCATTGCTACGTTAATGCAAAAATCGTAAAGCAAAAATCAAGAAGTAGATATCCAGATAAACTCACTAAGAATGATTCACTATTCAATTCAGAATTAGATGAGTCAACAACCACCTTGACAATGATAGTCATAACCAGTTTGTTTGAAATTCTTAAAATTTTTGCATCAGCTAACAAATGAATGATTCTAATTGGTTTGAATCATATTTAAATTTTTACCAATGATGAACAAAGTTATTTGTTAACCAAAAATGATTATATATTAAATAAATAAGAAACAAAAATGGAAAAATTTCGAATGACTGCTTGTTTACTGAATTAACCAGAAAAATGTGCCATCTTGTACATCTTTTTTCTTTTTTTTCAATATGAAGTCTTCTTCTTATTCTGCCTTTTTGATTCTAAATAAATAATTTAATATTTTAGTTTCCAAATTTCTAATAAATTTAGAAAGCCTCTAAACTGTTTCTTTACTTTAGCTAACATATTAAAATTATAAAATTTCTTGAGAAATAAATAATTTTCCGAAATTTATTTCATAAAGATTCCTATATATTCTTATCTAGATTCTTATCTAGATTATACGAATGCTGATAAAAGGATAAATTATTTAGATATTGATTTTTTCCGCAGAACCTCCCACTTTGGTTGCTTTGATACGCATATACGTGTATATATACAATTTTACGACTATGAATACAGCCTGAACCGAAGCTGCTAGTTTGATTTCAACAGTGTACCGATTGTCGACAAATTATATTTCTCCATACTTGCAACAGGTAAATACTTGGATATTTATTTAAGTACTCGGAAATAAATCAATGCAGTTGCATACTGTTAGACTAATTAAAACCATTTTGTCACAAACAAACATGTCATATTATTTTGTGTCGAAATTTATTTTTATCACAAACAAAAATAAATTTCGACGCCAAATAATATGACATGTTAATGAAATTTGAAGGAGAATATTCAACAATATTGATCTTTGATATTACATTTGAAATTGACTGATATATCGATTGAGAATATATATATAGAGACTGATTTTCAAGGTCAATCGTTTTATCATTGTTATAGCAGTTATATAAACCAATTTCCGTAAACCATATGTAATACACTATCTCCTCTATCGATATAATCAATTTTAGAGAGAAGTTTACCGAAACCTTTTACTTTTTTTTTTACACAACATACACATAATAAAATGAAACATGTATACTTGCATTCAAGTCACTGAAACTTAATTTTCTGGAACGTCACGTTAAATTATAGTTGCGAAACCTTTCATGTACGTGCAGCAAAAACTCGTACGATGTAAATTATCGTGCTGCTGGAAAAACGTGACAATCTAAATTTAAAACATTAAACGAGAGCCTTAGAAGTAATTTTAATAAGAAAATGAAAATGTATCCTAAAGTATATTTTTTCCTATTTATCGGACACGTTATACTGTATCAAGTTTCTTTATCTCGGATTTCAATACGATCAGATATGCTATGTATACACTTATATATATATATATAGAATATTGTCAAATATATCTGATTTTATATAAGCATTATTATACCTACCGCAAGGATAGTTGATTGTTTTGTTACTAAAGTTAAATATAATATATTCTATTATAGAATCAGTTTCAGCCAATTGATATTAATTTCTTAAATGACAAATTAAAGAATATGGGCTTATATGATCTGAAATACAATGTATTTCAGATAAGGATTGAGATACCATAATGGAAAAAATGGGACCATTACCACCACCGCCACCACCTGGTTTTGTTCCACCACCACCAACTGGCCATCCGCCACCATATCAGCCATCCAGCGAACCAAGTAAGTTATATGAAAAAATTTGAAGTATTAAAATGATAAGATCGTAATCTTGTAGTGACCTTAAATGCTAGATAGTACCTGTAGGTAGTCTGGAAGCCAAGAAAGTATAAATATGCATAAAACGATTTAACGATTAAAATCCAGGATTAGGTATCATCGCTGCATGGGGACTATAATGGTACTGGTAGCATATGGTATAACGGTTTGGGTCGTCGTCCTATATATTGACAGCTTCATCTCCATGTAGCAGCCTCTGATAATGACGTACCATGTTGCTTCACAACTTGGAGAGTCAGCTAAGCAAACTTACCAAATGGGTGGGTTCAATTTGTTGAATGACTCACAAAATGAGGATAAAGTTTTTTTTCATGTTCTGTATTGTATTTGCGTATAACATATTTCCTGGATTCTAGAGAGTAAAATGTTCAAAAGTGAAACCTATCTAGGGCAAAAGTTCAATTGATCATTGATCATATACACGTATGCATATTATATATGTATGTACTACAGCATGCTATTTGAAGTATTTCATAAATAATATTAAAATATATTCTTTAATACGATAATTGATTCTAAATATTATCACTTTAGTCTGTGTAAAATTGCAATACATTAATTCATCAACTTTTATAGAATTTCCATGATCTAAATAAATAGTTGTTCAATATTCAACATCAAAAACAGTCGTGACTTTTGTCATGAGAAAATTTTTACAACATTAATATTAATCTCTATATTTTACGTTTTTATAAATCTGCTATATATGTATATATTAGTGATTATTGCTGTTATATCAATTAAAAGGCTTACCTAAGAATATATTTTTTGCAGGTACTGTTGTGTTAACTTCTATGCAATTTGGTTCACAACCGCAGTATGTAATATGTCCCCATTGTCGGACGCATGGCCTGTCGACAGTTGAAACTGGACCAAATGCAACAACTCATGCTTTCGCATTACTATTGTGTATTTTTGGGTAATTATAATTTGCGATTCATTTTTGATTTTTAAGAAGAATAAAATTTAATTATATTTACAATTATTTCTAGACTTTGGTGTTGTGTTCCTTGTCCTTATTGCATGGACACTTGCTTGGCAAAGAAACATTATTGCAGTTCTTGCAAAGCATATTTAGGAGAAAGTAAATAATATAAGCGTGCTAATGTACTAAAGCTACTAAAGTATTATCAAAGCTATTTTCTTATAATATATATGTATTATAATACATATTATTGTGATTTTCTATAAGATGTAAACAATATTTTATATATATTTACATATTTATATATATTTATATATATATAATTAATAGATGAGTAAATCTTTACTCAAACTTATGTTAATCAATTAATGAACTTAATTTATAATTCTGAATTTAAATGAAGTTCAAACACAATAATGCTAAAAGTATAAAATAAAGTTTAAAAGCACAAATATAAAAATATAAATATATATATTATTGAAATTTCTATGAAAATTAAAGAGTAAAATCTGCAAATTTAAATTGTATTATTATTTTTTCTATTAATGTACTGAAAATTTTTATTATTCAAATATATGTATGTATGAATCTGGTTTATTGCTTATCAAGCAAATTTATGTACAAGAAATTCTCGATGTTATACCCAGACTAAAGTATATAAAAGAATAGATATTACAATAAATTCTTATTGAAAATTTCATGTATTTTACTCATATATCCACTTCTCTGCCCAAGATGCCCAGTCAGTAACTTCCTTCTCTTCCCCAAACCACAGTTTGATTTCTTTGTTAGCAGATTCAACAGAATCAGAGCCATGAATAATATTGCGTCCAACTTGAATACAAAAATCACCACGAATTGTTCCAGGTGCTGAATCCTTTGGATTTGTTTCTCCTAACATAACACGGCCAGTTTTCACCGCATTTAAACCTTCCCATACCTGAAAAACAATTGTAAAAGACGTAATTAATGTACAAGTAACATTTTCTTAATTGTATTATATAGAAGGCAATTACCATTGGTACAACTGGTCCCGAACTCATGTATTTAATTAGACCTGGGAAAAATGGTCTGGATGCCAAATCTGAATAATGTTTCTTTAATAAATCTTCGTTTGGCTACAAAAAAAAAAGAATAATAATAATAGAATTTCTATACCAATAACGAAAGCTGCTGCGCATCTTAGTGGCACATCAAGCAAATACAAGTCATAAATTAGTATTTCTATTAATTATCTTGATACAAGATAATACAATGTCATAGAGCTTAGTAACGAAGGTCACGACAGTTGTTATGTATTCTACGATCGATAAAATGCGACAAGTGTTTTTGAAATGAAAATGTTTAAACAACATATGCCGAGTTACTAGATTCTTAAGAATTAGAATTTTTCTGGATTGGATTAGACACGAAACATATGTAAAGACACTTACCCACAACATTTTCATTGCTACAAGTTTGAAACCTTTGTCTTCGAAACGTTGAATTATTTTCCCAACGAGTCCACGTTGGACGCCATCGGGTTTAACCATAATGAAGGTACGTTCCTTATTTTCTGCCATTATTAATTTACAAAATAAACGAAGTAAAACTAATACAGAGCACAAAACCATGCATCACCGGCAACAACGCCGAAAGGGAAGAACGAAAGAGCTGCTTGGGGCTTCGGTTATTCGAATTCTTTCAACGTGGTGGGGAAATCGTTCTCGAACTCTTACCGCGTGGCGCTCATGCATGATCGATCAGGAACGGCAATATCAATCTTTGCCCGATACTTTATTCTTCCGTAATTTTTTCTAAGGTTTCTGTGAAATAAATACGTTATTTGTAACTTTTATTGCAAATTACACTATAATCTGTAAAACAATATGCAATTTAAATAATGTAACTAAATATTGCAATAGTTATACAAACAAGATAGCCGATATCAAAAAACCTGTCCAATATTTTATTTTTTTAGTTATACTTTCAAATTAATTACTTTCTTAATGTAACTTATTACTTTCCAAAAATCTTCGTGCAGATCAATTGATATTTAGATCTTTCTTATAACATCTAACAATACTATCAATTAAAAGTAACTGCAATAACCGTGGGTGTTAAAGTTAATTATTACTTGTATGAACATGACGTATTTCCCGCGCGTAGAACGGCATCAGTCTCTCTAGCCCGGAATACGTTCATCGATTGGTTTTTCACGTCGGACCGTATTACGTACGTATTGTCCATGTTATATTGGGCTTTTCACAGCACTGACAGACTGTCGTTCGTGGAGAACTCAACTGTCGCGATAAAAACGTGTACAAAAAAAAAAGGAAAGCACCTTTTAACAACAAACGTAAATAATTGACGATTGCATTATTTACGTTTTGCGTGATTTGCATGTTGTGCATAAATCCTTGGTTAAGTAAATTGCTTGAAAATCCATCATGGCGCACGTTGAAAGATCGCGCTAGTGCATATCGATGTAAGTGCCGCGCGTATCTGTTTTTTGTTTCGATTCTACGAAAAATAAGGAATTCTCTCTGGATCCAGTTCACTACGATTTCTCTGATTTTAATATTGGATTCATATACGAACATCGACACGTGATCATCGTCTCGCATCGGTTCTCGTTCGCACATCATTTTTTTATGGTGGTCGTCATCATGCAAGCACAGCAGCAGCCACAGCAACAACAGCAGCAGCCACAACAATCGCAGCAGCAGAATCATCAACAAATCGCATGCAGCAGTGTCATTCTCAAGATGAACGAGATACCACAGGTTTCGACAATCGGTACGTAGCAAGACAATTTCAATCACGTCCTATTCTACTTTAGTTGAATCTTCATTGATAAAGTGTCTAGTCAAATGAATTTGTAGATATTGATCTCGAAATGTCCTGATTCGTTTTGCCAAGTAAATTTCTACAAAAAAAAATTAATACCGACAAACAAGAATTAACCACAGATTTATTTCTCCTAGTATCTATAAATTTTTCCAACTACATGGCCATTTGATTATTCTTAACAGTTTTGTCAATATTAAATCGTGACTGTTATTTAAAAGAGAAAACTTGTTGAATAAAGCTTCACGTGAATTGGGTGACAATTTAGCTTACGTATGTAAAACGTCTTATATATCTTTCATTTATCATGATAATAATGGTAATAATGCAAAACAAAAATGTACATATTTTGTATAGACGACACTCGTATGTGGTATATATAATAAAAAATGGAAAATGTGATGTAAGAGGGAGTACTTCATAAATTTATCACACGTGTTTTTTCTTTTATAAACATCATTTCTTTTATAAACCGATGAAGTGATGTACATATGCACGTGTGTATTATTGTCATCTTTAAAATTGCTCGATAACTTTAGAATTCTTTTTCATGAATACAAGTATTACTACTCTGTACGTATAGTTTTTTCCTTTTTTTTCAAGCTTATTTTCTTTGTCTATTATTTCTATTCTATTATATTTTAATTGTCTATCTACCCTTCCTTCTTACTCTTCGATTGTTTCCGTTTCGTCAAAGTGACGATGGAATATTCCATTCGATACCTATGCCATCTGCTTTCCGTGCGAAAGAGTGGGGATGGTTACCCTTTTGTATAACGTCAGTGGTACTTTCCTAACAGAATTTTGCTATTAAAAATTTCCTTGTTTAATTTTGCAATTAAAAATTTCCTTATAATTCCATATTTCAAAATTTTCTGGTATTCGTATTTTCTTTTTCTTCCTACAATCGGTATTTTTAAATTTTAAATTAGGCGTAAATGCACATATTTTAACCTTAATAAAAATATACTATTCTTTTCAATGAATTTTAATGAACTTATAGTTTTAAAAATCAATATCATTGCAGTAGTATTAATTTGTCCTCTAAGATATATATCTTACTAAAAATAACCAAATGATTTTAACAGTTAATTTTATTCATACGAATTGAGAATCACTGTTGTGATTCTTTGTGTCCCTGCAGTCGCGTACCATCACATCTGTACGTATAGTAAGCACCTTAAAATAATATAAATTTTTTATTTCATTTTATTTCATTTTTTACATCGCAATGTAATCGTGTAATTATAAGAATAATTTCTACTTTAAAATTGATTTTTCTGAAAAAAGACTCACCGACGAGAAAAGTATGACTCTGTTAGTTTAAAACAAAAATTTTCTACTTTTTATTAGATTTTATATCGTTACTATTGATAAGTTGTAAATATATCAGTTGTTATCATACTTCATTATATGTATCTACATTTTCGTATATTCAATACATTCATTGATGAAAAATTGTGCGAAATGTAGAATAAGCAAAGCAACGGAAAGAAGAATTTATTAGCCAGTTTAGACAGTTTTTCTTCAGAATCGCTAAAAATAATTTGACAATGATTCTGTAATCAAACAGATCTGTTAGTTATATTGACAATGAGAATAATAAAGAAAGTAAAATTGTCGAACGCCGAGAAGCGAAAGGCACAGGGTACCAGATTTAATATTTGCGGCGTTGAGCCGGGTGTCTTCCATGTTCCCATTTTATGCTTTTACCCGGCACAACGTTGCAGGAGACCGCCATAGTGTCGAATTGACCAATCAAATTGCTCCTTGGTCTGGTGGGGATAACCTGGTAGAACATAACTTGTACTGGATAGGAATACAGAGGACATACTGTGTACGGAAACGGAAAGTCACGAATTATCTTTGCACGGTTTGAAGTAACAAAGAAACGTAAACTCGGATAGCGCGCAGGAAATAATTGACTCCAGAGAGTAAAACTAGCTCGAAATCGGATAGCAGGAAATTTTTCGAAGAGAGAGGAAGCTTGAGTTGCCGACACTGAAGCGTGGAAGGGTCTCGAAGTTAATTAGAGGCAATCGTGTGAAAATAGAGGTGTGCGGCTTGTAATATTGGATAGAAGTGTTCGGAAAAGTTTGACAAGATGAGCATAAAACTGGCAGAGAAGAAAGAAACCGTGATAAAAAATTCGACCGGTGGAATCGGAAACGTGGTCAATAGTTCGGATGACGTTTGTAATGGGACCGTCGAGTGGCAAAATGGACAGAATCTTCTCGTTGTTACGCAGGACACGCAGGGCAAAGAGCTAATTGCGATCGCCGACAATCAGACGATTAACGTTGCTGTTGACTCCTATTGTTCGTATCTTTCACCTCATTTTCGTTTCTTAATGCAATTTTGAGTTTCCAATGAGCCGGCTAAAAAAATCGATATACATGTTTTGTTCTACAGTAGACATATTGTTTTTATATAAATCTTCCTAAAATTTTCGATATGATGTGCAATACTTTGAAACAAGCGGCTTAAAATCAAAATTATCGTATATTACATTGCCATATCATAAGAATGTTTAAATTAATTAGGTGTTCTTAATATTCTTCTTCAAACTCGATATTCCTTTTACTTTTGAAAGTAGGAGAAGCAAATGTATTTGTTTCATTTACACATGAGTTTCTAAAATCTGACAAATTTTGTAAGAACTGTGTTTGAATTTACTTTTTTAGGGTTACTGGAACTTGCTCATAGGGAATATCAAGCAGGAGATTATGAAAATGCTGAAAGGCATTGTATGCAACTGTGGCGACAGGAAACGTATAACACGGGGGTTCTTTTGTTGTTGTCTTCTATCCACTTCCAGTGCAGAAGGCTAGAAAAGTGACTATCTTCCTCCTGTTGTGTAAATTTCGAGAAAAATAAAATGTTAATCAATTATTATTCTTGCATTTCAGATCCGCTCATTATAGTAGTTTAGCGATAAAGCAGAATCCCTTATTGGCGGAGGCTTACAGCAATCTTGGCAATGTTTTCAAGGAGCGTGGTCAACTACAGGAAGCTTTAGAAAACTACAGGCATGCCGTTAGATTGAAACCAGATTTCATTGATGGTTACATCAATCTAGCAGCTGCATTGGTAGCTGCTGGAGATATGGAACAAGCGGTTCAAGCATATGTGACTGCTCTACAATATAACCCCGTGAGAAATCCATTCTGATTATTGATATTTCTTTGTAATCCTTTGTATATTATCACACTTGCATACGTTTAATTTATCTGAGCAAATGCTACTACATTCTTTGAAAAGACTCGGCATTATGGAATATATATTTTATGCATTCATATGTTGCAGGATCTTTACTGTGTGAGAAGCGATCTTGGTAATCTTTTGAAAGCATTAGCAAGACTTGATGAAGCCAAGGTAGGTTTTCTTCATCTGTTACACATTTCTGTAAATTAATTTGACGTGTCACGCACATGATTGGGTGCATCAATACCACAGTCAAATACTAAAGATGTTGAGCATTGCTGTGTTGTTTCATCAAATTTTGTTTTTGACTAGATATGGATGCATTTCGTAAAATGTGCACGAGTGCTAGCTGGCAGCTCCACAGAATAGCCAGGAACAACTGGTATCCATGTACTAGAGGCTGAAAGCTTTCTCTCTTTGCGATGAAATGTATGCGCGACGCACGATGGCCTGCTATCAAAAGCAATTGCGTGTTTCTGTGCCTGAAAAAAGACACGAATAATAGAAAATTCAGATTTTGATAGTAGATTATCCATTGTGCGTGTTTCTCCTCTTAATTAACTTAATCACTGCGTTTGGTGTTTTTTTTAATTTTTTGTTTGTTTGTCTGTTTATCGAGAACCAGACGAAGGTAGCCAGAACAAGATAACATTTCTTGCAAGACATCAAACGCAGGAGACGAGGGTTCAAGTTTAAAATTAGCTAAAAACTAATGTGAAATCCCTCTTCGCACTGCGCGTTTTGGAATAACACCGATGAGAGCAACAACGAAATTCCTTTATTTGGTGTTATTGCAAAGTTTTAATTTGCCGGCCCTATTACAGCAATATCTTTTCGTTTATCGTTGATTAAGCAAACAGTGTTGAGTCTTTTTCTTTCTCAACGAGCTACAATAGGACCGGCAGCGCGCGATTGTAGCATTTAAGCTCATCTCATTTGATTCAGCTCATTCTGAATGTGTATTTACTTTAGGTATACTCTGAACCGTTACATATACGTGGACAAATGCAACCTTTCTTTTCCAACTACTCTTTCCAATTTTAAAAGTAAACAAATTGTGTGATGACGATGATAATTGCGCGAGATCACTTGACCATATTACATACTTGTCGTGACGTTTACTATGGAAAAAGATTGTTAACCTGTCGATGAATTTGCGTCAAGATATTTTCCATGCTGGAAACTCGTGGGACTTTCTCGTGGGCTCCTAAGAGTTTCATTCGTTTCAATGACGTATAGTGAAGCAAGCGAGTCAAGTGGTCTACTTCATAACAGCAGCGCGGCGCGGCAATAGTCGACGAGTAGAAACTGATTGCAAACAGTACATGTATAGCCGTTGATAATTTTGCTCGATCCACGTTGAATTCGTAGTGGTGTCTCTCTATTTGGTATATTTCATACTTTTTGCAATCAAACTCGCCGGTGATACTCAATGCAGCAAAGAGAGAAAGGCTTTCCGTTGAATTTCCTGTCGTTCTTGAGCGCTCTCTAGTTCACTCGTTTTTTTTTCGCTTAGTACGTTTTGCCACCAATAATGTTGCATTCACAGAAAGATATCGGCTGGAACTACTGGTTATCGATGGGATCACAAAAAAAAAGAAAAAAAAAAGAAAAAAAAAAGAGGAAATGGTTTTCCAAATTTCTTGGCTTTTTCTCTAAAGAATCAATATAAATTCGCGTTATTTGTAATTTTTCTTCTTTTTAAAGCATCGTTGGCTACTACAGGGGTCAAAAAACGATCTAATTTGATCTTTTTTTTTTTCTTCTCCTTTTTGACTAAGGGACAATTATTTTCAATGCAATTGGTAATTGGGGTGGGGGTGTAAGATTGTGATATGGTGGCTGACGACCTCAGCGAAGCGTGTCTTTCAGCAACACGCATAACTAGGTACCTCTGTATACGTATATTAAAAAAAAAAAAAAGAAAGAAAACATAAAAAAATAATAATAGAAAAAAAAAGACAAAGTTGAGGCGAACAGTATCAATGAAGAGACATTAACGCAGCTGTCTTGTTGTTGTGGATGGGATGATCAACTCTAGGAGGGGAAGTCGGAGCAATGTGATTGGTCTGTTACCATGGGTTCCTTCGTCAAAGGGTGAATCTGAATCTGGTTATTCAGTAACACACTGTCTCTCGGTCTAAGTTTATTATGAGAACTTGCGAGCCGTACCTACCGTCAACCTACCAAAGGGTACACTGCAGGTAAAGTAATTCCCAAGGCCGATCTCTGAACAATCCGTCACAGGCCAATTTGAACGTCCGTTGTTCCGAATGGGATTGAAAGTTGAGGGATTGTTTCAACTGAGGATTGAGACATTTGCGTTGGGAATTCTCAGTTGAAGCTCTATCCAACTTCTCGGTTCCTATCCGTTTCCACAGAAGCCTTGATTGATCTTTATTATCCAGCAGCCTGTCATTACCGTTTCCCCTTTTGATAGAGATCGGCCGAACTGTAAATGCCCTTTTAAAACTTACTGTTTAGGTACGGATTTACTCTATTTCTTATAACAGTGCAGCCCGCCTCTCGGCACGCGCGATGCATTATCTCCCTTGTTTGAACCCTTAGGAGCGTCGTCATCTATAGAAGATTCTTCCGGCAATTTTTCTTTCTCTCACTGCATCAGCGATTAACGATAATAGAAATTCAATCTATATAACACGAATGGTCGAACAGTGGGAACATGTGAATAATGAAAAACCAATGTTTGTTTAAGCAGTCGTCGACCGAGAACTGACTATGTTGGAGGTGAAATTGGCCCACGTGAGTTGAGCAGAGACTGCTGCGTGCCCGTCGAGTCCACCGGACGCATTCCGGAGAATCGATGGACACGAAGACACCTTCTACGAGATGACGTTTCTAGCGCGCACCTAAATCCTTCATTCCCTGTTTTTCATACTCCGATCCATTACTACATATATTGTGTATGATTCGCAAAATGGATTTCGTTCTCTCTGTTTCTCTTCTCTGACTCGTTCCCGTTTCCCTGGAATGGTTCGTAGTCCGAGTGTAAGCCAGGCAAGAGCTCTTGAAACAAGATCGTCTTTAATTACACGTGATTGTAAGGATCACGTTGCCGTGTTAACCTACGTGTCCCATTTTACAAATGGGCACCAAAAAACGTGTAACAGTGAATTTGTTGAAACTTTCATTCTTTCACTCGTATATTGAAACCATAACGAGGAAGCAATTGCTGTGCAATCAATGAACGTGGTAACAAGTAACTGATTCCCCTCAGAGAGCACTAATTTGCTTATCTGTAGCAAAAATGTACTTCACCTTTGTGTTGGAGATCCGCGGAAAAGAAAAGGGACGTAGAATGAGGGGGGAGAGAAAAAGGGGAGGGTAACGAGGCAGGCAGGACAGAGAGGACGAAGGTATGAAAAAAGATATATGTTCTTGTACTCTGAGGTTTATCGAAAATAGTGAAATGTGTGTGAAAGCCTGCGGCGCGGCGAGGAGAGGCCGGGCAAAACGCGCGGCGCGTCTCTTCACAGCACCGCGAGCATCTTCTCTGACCCCCTGTTTGTCTTTAGGCTTGCTATCTAAAGGCCATTGAAACGCGTCCAGATTTCGCGGTCGCGTGGAGCAATCTTGGCTGCGTGTTCAATGCCCAGGGTGAGATCTGGCTGGCGATCCATCACTTCGAGAAAGCTGTAGCTCTGGACCCAAATTTCTTGGACGCTTACATCAACCTTGGCAACGTGCTCAAAGAGGCTAGGATTTTCGATAGGTAAGGAAACAATCGGAAATCGGTGTCTAGTTGGAGGTGTCGCTACGCTAGTTAGAACAATGTAATACCACTGTCGCTTTCTAGTTCATGACGTTGCTTTGCAATGTTATATATATAACATTTTCAAACTTTGCAGTTGAAACGTTTCTGATAATGAAAATATTTTGTCTTGTTCATACTACTTGTTAGGTAAAGGTAAAAGAAAAGTAAAGTTTGTAGAGGATGCGTTTCTCTGTCCTTGGTGTCCTAATGGCCAGGAGTATTAAATAGAAAGTGTGAGGGACTCTGTTAGACCTATAAAATAATTGCCAAAATTACTTTGAGTCTGACCTGGTCAATAATCATAAAACGCCTTACCTTCTCGTTCACATGATCGGGAAGGACACAAAGAAAATTAATATAAGGACTAAGGCTCCAACACGCTGGAGGAGTCTGAACACTAGAACTACCACATCAGTCAAAACGATTGGTTTTACAATTTTATTTTAAAATTTCTATTTCACGTTACATTTCTTCCTGCAATGATGCAATGACTTTTGCAGCGATAATTAAAGAAATAACATAATGAATTTTATTTCATTTCTATTTATTAGAAATCAAAATAATTTTGTATCATGGCTACTTATACCAATACCAGTTAAAATGATTGGTATTTGTCAAAGTATAAAAGGGTCCTGTTTGAAACTGATTAATACAGTCAATAGTTGAGTCTAGAACTGCAGCCCAGAAGATAATTTCGTCCATAAATACAATCTACATACCTAACAATCTAACAACGTGAATTCCCAAAAAGTTTATTTAAATTATTGCTAGTTATATGTAGAAAATAAATAGATATCAAGAAAAAAATCACACGATATGTTTAGTATAGTCTATTCAAGAGACAAGCACATTTTGTTTTTTTTTATTGTTATAGTAATAAGAAAATTTATTCATTATTACTATAGATAATAAGAAAATTTATTCATTATTTCTATAATAAATTTTATAATAATATCATGGAGGTTAGTAATAAGAAATGAAAATTTATCCATATTATTATTACTACTATAATATGAAGTTTAATAATAACACAACAATGAGAAGTTTTATAATGATATCTCATGGAGCTTCTATATATAAAC